CCCATTGCTGTGTTACCGTACCAACCCGTCTTGTTGGGAGTCTTCACCCTCCACTCCTGCATCTTTTAAACCCAGTCCCACTTAGCTGTCTGGAGTCCTGGTATGGTACTGTAGGATAGGCACTGCACTGCTAACCACAAGGTTGGTGGTTCAAAGCCACCATCCATTCCTTAGAAACTCTCTACAGGATCCCGATGAGTTGGAACCAACTCAACTGCACTTAACAATAACAACAATAGCAACAACAACTCAGCCGTTGGAACCATCTTCTAAAATGCACATCTGATCATGCCTCTTCTCTCCTGAAAATCTTCCCTTGCTCTCTATCTCTTTGGATAAAGTTGCTTAACTTCTCTGGCCTCAATTTCTTCATTTGTTGATTGGAGACAAAACAATATGAGAGTAAGTCCAAAAGTTTTGCGACGAGGGTTCTAGTCTATACAAACATGGGTTTATTCCAGAAAAAAGATGTTTAAACATGTTTCGGTGATAAGTGTATAGCTGCAGAGAAGTTCTCTAAGTAGTACGTCTGTCTTAGTCTCCTTAGAGTGCCTTCAAAATAATAATAATAATAAACTCCAGTCAAAATGCTGGCTTCTGAGGGGTCTATGGAATCAAATTCAAGGTATAGAAGTTAGCTCAAAAGGTTTGGCAACTGTATTCTGGGATCCCAAAGAGGTCACCTTGATAGATTTTCTCAGAGGACACAGAAAAAGACCAGGAAAATTGTCAAGTCACAGCAATGCACCCGCGCCTTCTTCGAGGGTAGTTATGGGTGTCTTAGGGAATTTTATTGAGAAACCTTACCCTCTCCACCCTGTGAGTCCTGATCTTGTCCCTTCACACTCCTTTTTTTACCCCCTAAAACTCAATGAACATTTAAGAGGAACATGAGGATGCCAGTCTGCCTGCTCTTATCGTGAGGTGTGGAGATGACCTCGGCCTCCTACGTTTCTGATGGCAGCGATGAGATGGCATTGCCCAGCCCGCTGCAGGTGGCAGATCAGTGTTGGGACAGGTTATGGAGCAGGTGACAGGAGGCAGCCTCCTGCCCATGCTACTGATCACCTGCACCCTTCACCCTCAGTCTAGTCTGCCTGCTCTGCCTTGCCATTGGCCACCTGGTTCAGCTGCTAGCCAGGAGAAATGTCCACCATATATTTCCTCTCCACTTCCATTCCTTGGACATGCAATAGCATTTGGAAAACATCCCATTGAAGTCCAGAAAATGCATACGAGAAGCATGGGCCTGCCTTTAGTTTCACCATGGTGGGCAAGAGGTTTACTTAGTTTCTGGGAAGTGATGCTGCTGCACTGCTATTTAATAATAAAAACGAAGATCTGAATGCAGATGTCTGCAGTCTACTGACACCTGTGTTTGGAAAGGGAGTTGAATATAATGTGCCTAATTCAGTCTTCTTGGAGCCTTAACATAGCCCATTTTAGACAACATGTTTCCATAATTGAAAAAGAAACAAAGGAATACTTTTAAAAGTTGGAGAGAAAGTGGAGAAAAGATATATTTTCCTTTGTAGGTGAATTTCATTTTTCCTGAGCCGCTCTAAGGTTATTTTCCTTGTCTTTGATTTTAAAAAGTTTAATTATGATATGTCTTGGTAATTTTCTTTGGGAATCTATCCTTTTTGAGTTTGTTCGGCTTCTGTACTAACCTTTAAAGCTCAGGGTTCCAAGATCACCATCTGTATCTGTTTTACTGGTCTCCCATGTCTGCTCAGTGCATCTGCCTACTCTGCCATTTTGCCCAGAAGTTATCAGTTGGAATACTTTTTAAGTGACCCACATAAATGTAATGTATTTGCCAATAACAGCACAAGGATGGGTAGAAATCATGGTGTCTGAGCTAAGGAATGACTACACATTGTAACGTCATAATAATGCGTTGCTGGGTTTGCAACATTAACAGATGCAGCTTGTATAACAATAACACCACTAAAGAGGGACAAAGGAATAGTGCCTGACAATCCAGAAGACAGACCCAAAGTTGCTACTTCTGGCCCTCTTTGGAATGGAGTAGGGTGACTCCATCATTTTGATATGCCCCAGTGAAGGTCTTCCCACAGTGGGCCATCTCTAAGCACCAGTCTCCTTCTCTTCCCAGGATCTCAGCAATGCCCTTGCATCTAGCTTCTCTGGACACCTGTTCCCTTGCAGACATATCTACATGTACTTAAAGCACAATGGTGGACCAGATGGGATTTTGATTCCTTTAAAAATACCAGAAGATGCCAAAACAGACACAGGGGAGAGAAATCACCTACTGCCACATATCAGAACCCCATATCTGATATGTAAAGTCAAGACTTTTTCTGAAAACTATCATCATCATAATCATTCCCCGAATAGAGAAATGATAGGGAAGGACCTATTACCAAGACTTCTCTGAGACTCAGAGTGATGTCCAGGGAGCCCAGTAGGCAGTCTGCCTGTCCTTCAGAAAATCACAGGGCTCCCATTCTTGTGGGGCCATAGGCACAGAATGTGTAGTGAGGTAGAAGAGGACAACACTACAGTTGAAACGACAAAGAAGAGGACATGGAATGAAGGTTGTCATTGTCATAATCAAATGGATCTTGGCAAAAAGCAGAGAATATCAGAGAGATGTCTACCTGTGTTTTATTGACTATACAAAGGCATTTGATTATGTGGGTCATAGCAAATTATGGATACCATTGCAAAAAATGGAAATTCCAGAACACTTCCTTGTGCTCATGCAAAATCTGTACAAAAACCAAGGGGCACTCATTCAAACAGAACAAGGGGAGAATGTGTGGTGGAAAATCAGGAACGATGTGCCTCATGGTTGTAACTTTTCACCATATTTATTCAATCTGGCTGATGAGCAAATACTCTGAGAATCTGGACTATATGTAGAAGAACATGGTATCAGGACTGCAGGAAGACTCATTAACAACTTGGGATAAGCAGATGACCCAACCTTGCTTGTAGAAAGGGAAAAGAACTTGAAGCACTTACTCTGCAAATCAAGGACTGTCATCTTCAGTATGGATTACACCTCAACTTAAAAAAAGAATGAAAATCCTCATACGTGGGCCAATAAGCAACATGGTGACAACCAGAGAAGAGATTAAAGTTGTCAAGCTTTTCACTTTACTTGGATCCATAACCCACACCCATGGAAACAGTACATCCTCCTCACCGGTACTCCTGAGCTCACACTGCGGAGAGGGAGAAGCTGGAGACCAGTCAGGTCACAAAGGTTAAAGCACCGGGCTGGGAAGCACATAGACCAGGTCCTCAGGACTATGTCTGGGGAGTGTGGACCTGCTGGGTTCGGCTCTGTCTTGTGTAGGGGCCAAGGCTGAACAGAACGAAGGAGGAGACTCGTAGGCCTAGGAGCCTCCTCTCCTATTGAGCTTTACTTTCTAGGCGGGGTTCCTCTGATGTCTTAGGACATTTGGCACCCTTTGCCTTCAGAGTCCATCGTTCAGTCCAGAACCCAACATCTGGAGAGACTGAGCATGACTTTGACATCTGAAGGACTTGGGTTCGAGTCCAGCAGCCACCATTCCCATGTTCTCCCTGTCTTTCACTCACTGACCCTGACTACAGGTCCTGCCCAACCCTGGTGTGAGTAACATAGAATGCGAATCACACTGATTCCCAACCCCAGAGAGTTCCTTGGAGTGGAAGAGAGACACAGATGCAGACAATGCTGACCCAGGGTGGGCTGTGTGATAATAAACACAGACTCAGGACCAGGCAGCCCAGGGAGGGAAGGTTTCCTAGAGGAGGGGATGCTTGGGAGAGCCTGAAAAGGAGCTGGAGCTTGTCAATAAACAAGTGGGAAAGGCACTCCAGAGAGCTGCAGGAACTGTACAAAGGCTTAGGGATGAGGAGTAGCCTGGTGACATATCAGAAGAGAATCTACCGCCAGAATTGGAGTGGCTGAGGCTTGCGGAACATGCAGTCTGGACTGAAGTCTCCCAATGTAGGGAGAGAAGGAAACTGCCCTGCTGAGACTCTGTGGTTGGGAACCTTCCCATGGTCAGTGTGAGGGGCTTGGTGGGAAAGCTGGGAGGCTGATGCTGTTTCTGGATCAGAGGCACTTTGCCCATGGTGAAGCCTCTATATCCCCAATCACCTTTACCAGACATGAGTCACAGAGGGTAAAGATGCCCAGCCTACTGCTCTCCAGGTGAGGGCACTGAGAACACAGAGCAGCCTCCCAAGTCCATCTCATTGCCACCCCCTTCACCCCACAGCACAGTCCTGCCCATGCTCCACCCCCTCTCTCTTGCCTGAACTCTGATTGCTCCTTCCAATGCTCCTTCCACTCCAAGGCCCCTGTGAGCTTCTGAGAAGGTGGCTCAGACTGACTGGCACCCTGCCTCTCTTCCTTCTCTCTGGACAAAGCCAGTTTCCTGGGCAGAGGTAGTGAAGTCCCTAGGATTCTCCTACCTTTCCAGTCCTTCACTCCCAGCTCTGCCCCTTGGCCTGTTCCATTCCCTTCCTGATGGCTTGCTGCTTCTAAGACCTGTCACCTGATCTCCCATATGCAGCCTTTGCAGATGAAGTTTATAGCTGGGGGCCCTTTGTGTCTTCCCCTGACCACTCTTCCAAGTCTTATTATGGAGTCTAGTGCATTGCTTGGACTCCTGGTGTGACATTGTAAGATCAGCACTGGGCTGCGAACCACACGGTTGAAACCCACCAGCTGCTTCTTGGAAACCCAATACAGGGATGCTTTGAGTCAGAATCAACTCAACAGCAGTTACCAACAACAGGGCATTGCTCAAGCAGCAGGGTTGATTGATGTTTCCTGGGGCAGAGATGGTTGCTCCCTAAGTCCGCACCTTGGAGGAGATGATAGGTAGTGGTTGCCTCCTCAAGGGAGCCCTCCGGGACTGCCCTCATCCACCATAGCATACATTTTTCTCTCTGAACTCCCATAGGGTGCATGCTTCATTCATCCTAATAGGATTGTCTCTGTCAATAGAGAATTTTCCACAGTCCCAGGGTCAATATGTGGCAGAAGATAATGAAAGAGTGAGGAAGCTCTGGGCTATGGCTCTGTGGAATAGCCCCGCAGTGAGCGGGGACAGGACCTGGTGCAGCAGAGAACACACAGTGTCAGAGGAGGACAGGGGAGCTGGGTCTTTGGGGACACAGAAGCCTCCAGTTACTGCCCCTGTCCCCACCTGAGAGCAGACTCACAAGTGCAGAAATCATTAGGGCACCTGCAGAACTCCCAAAGATGGTGACACAGTTGGGGTCACCCCCAAAGGGAGTGATATTTCCCTGTACCCAGCACAGAGCAGCCACCACGTCTAGGAAGCCCCAGTTTCCTGGTGCGTGTTCGTCCCCAGTGCTGGTGGCAGGGAAGGCACTGGTTAGCACAGGCAGACTCTTCTGGCAGATTTTCTTAAGCCTTTTTTTTTTTTTTTTGAATAGAGAGGAAATACTATTAACTGATAATACATGGTGGGGATTATAATCATTGTAATGAAGTGAAGTATATGATTTGTTGAATGTAAAACTGATAATCTGCCCTGTAAACTTTCACTCAGTTCACAGTAAAAACTTTGGGGGAAAAAAAGTTTATTAGAGAATTTACCGAAGATACTACTGTTTAGAATAAAATTGTCAGGTTAACCCAAGTAACTCAGTTTGATATTCTTGTCGTTAAATGCCTTTCAGTCACTTCTGACTCATAGCGAACCTGTATAGCATTTTCTTTTCTTTTCTTTTTTATTAAATAAATGTTTTACTGTGAATTGTGTGATAGTCTACATGGGAGAACATTAGTTTTACATTCATTCTATCATACATCGTTTCATTGGCATAGTTACCATCCCATCCATGCATCCTCACCCAACCAAAGGGTGTACGCTGCAAGTCTGCCCCCCGCCACAGTCCTCAGCCCCCTTCCATCTCCAGATCCCGAGTCCCCAGCCACACCATCTCTTGACGTCATCTTCTCTGCCTCCATCTCAGGCCTCACTGCTTCTCTGGGTAGGGTCCCGCTCTCCGCTCTTCTCCATTGATGGTCCCAGGGCCCTCCGCTCCTAGACTGAAAAGTTAATTACTCCCCTCCTTGCTACAAAATGTCCATCTTTAGATTTCCAACCCTCACAACCAGTCCTGATAACAATTATTCACTATTGCATCACAAGAGACCCATCTGTATTTCATTTCATCAGCCCTTCCTGGACAGGCTGGGTACTATTCACTGGAGACCCTGCCTTCCTCCACGCCCTTTGGATCTAGGTTCCCTCTTGAAAGCTTGTAAGCCAGTCACTTCTTACCTTTGTATCCCTCACCCCATTTTGGGTAACCAATGTCCAAGTTGCCCATCCCTGTGTACTCTTTGTGTGGAGGGGGTGGGAATAGTTCTTGCAACAGGGATTTGTTTCCTCTTTTGAGCTACTGCATTTATAGGTGTAGATCAAGTTCATCGAATTGTATCAAGTGATGTTTTTTTCCTCGTCTTTCTTCTTTGGGTTGAGCTCTGTGCATCCAGTCATTGAAGCCAGGTCAAGGGGTATGATCTGCAAGTGTGGATGTTCTTGCGTCTGTCCGCCCTCTTCTTTATCGGCTGGCCGCCCCGCTGTCCACTCTAGTCCTCTGTGGCTGTGTCATTGACTCTGAGCCCATGAGTCCCCAGGTCTTGCCTCGCTGCTGGCTGACCAGGTCTCCACCCGGGTTCACAGAAGTCTGCTGAACGAGATAGGGCTTAGCTCGCCACTTCATTGATGTTCTTCGGTCACTTCCCCTTATGAGTGACGTGAGTGGTTGCCAATCAAAGCGTGTATTTCCCTTGTGTCTTAGTCTTGGAAGAGAATTTGCACTGAGAGGATCCGACCACGTGCCTTGATGTCTCCTGGGCAAGCAACCTGCATGTTCTTGTGGTAACAGTCAGACTGCCCTTAGTGTTTTGTGGTTTTCCTGTAGGTCTTTCTTTCGAGAAGTATCTTCTGGTTTTCTAGCTGCTCCCGGCTGGTCTGCTTGTCCTTTCAAGTGGAAAATTTCCCGTCTCTGAAGGTCTGGATGTGGTTCGGGCTTTCACCTATACTCCCATGTAATGCAGAGGCTCCTCAGGAAACCGCCTTCACTCGACACATTGTAGCCCCATTTTAGGTATTCCAATCAGTTATAGGCAGAAGACAGATTTACAGGCTTTCTATGGTGATATTTCTG